GCTTTGAATCGGCTTTGAGGTGCGAAAACAGTGCTGGCTGAAAAACATGTTCGAGTCATGGGACATGAGTGTTAACTTGGACACACAGCCAACCCTTGCACTCTTCCAGTGCTGGCCCAAGGCGTTTGTAAGAAGCTTCCACGGATCAGCATGGCACTGACATGCATCTTGAGAGGCTTGAAATCGTTTGAATCGGGCCGAAGCTTAAGAAAGGGACGTTGGAGCCATACATTTCTATTCAGAACATGGCTCCGACATTGATTCTGTCCACTTCCACTGCTGGAAATGATCCGTACCGCCGGCATGTCTGAATGAAGAGGGACACGGGCCTGCGCCTGGGGCATCAAAGTTCGCCAGGCAGGGGCGAGGGTGACCAGAGCATTCGCGAGGTTCGGTGATGTTCGGGAGGTGTCGAGCGGTTTGCAACATGTTGGCTTGGCAAGACGATGTCTTCAGGTTCGACACAAGAAGTAGTACCTATTGCATGAGTCCCTTGCCAAGCTTCAGATGTGCGAGGTCGCATACACTCGCCGCAATAATCGTGGAGGAGGCCTGGGAAAGACATGTTGGTTCAGAAAAGTGTTACAAACGAACCAAAGAGCGGCCTGAAATGAAAACATCAGTAAAGCGAGATTGTCCTTTTCTCTAGTGCAGTCCTTCCAACAAAATGAAAAGCTGCTTTTCGGGCAGAAGGGGCCGCAAGTTTTTGCGTAACAGCGGAAACATAGGAGCATGTTGCGCCCTCTACTCCTTCCTGAAGTGAGAAGCTTCTCCAACAAACTAAAAAACCGCTTGGGCAGCCAAACAGAACGCAACGCTGCACAACGCTGTATGCCTGCATTCGGCAGTCCGAGTTCCCACCTCGATCTTGCACATGCACGGGTTCAGCAGTTCTACCGCAACGCTGCTGCATTCTCCCTGATGTCAGAATGCCCTGCGGAGGTTCGAGAACCAGCCGCAGCTGCTCGTGCTGGACTTATAACTTATAACTTATAACTGTCGCCATTGCAAACCGTGAGACATCGTGAGACCGGCTGAGAGTGTGAGGTGCTCAATCCGATGGCCCAGCTCAATGTCTCCGTGAGTCCTGGCAAGGCTCGGATGCTGGAGGCCATGCGGGCGAGTGGCTGAGCGACGGACGGTCCGAGTCGAATCCCAGCAGCTCGTCTGCGCGGCTGCAGAAGCTTCAGACCGGTGATGGATCACATCCATCCGTGGACAGGCCACGCGAAAACATCCAGACCCACGCAGGAACGCACGCGCTCAGGCTGGCCGATTGTCGGTCGGTCAGTCTGTGTCTGTCAATGCCTGTATGTTTGTCTGTGTGCTGGGCTGGTTTGTCGGAGGGAGTTGTCTGTTCGGGAACCGGAACCCTCATAGGAAATAGCCGCTTAACTAGCCTGTCTGGCCGGAGCTGTCCCTTTCACCCTTGGGCACGTACATTTTCACCTGTGCACTTGCTGGTAGCTGATGCTTTCTTCCCCCTTGCAAACCAGGGTCCTTTACGCCCACGGTACAGTCCTAGAACACCTGAGATTCGAGAAGGAGTCAAGCCACGATTTGAGAGCAGGACCCGGTCATTTCAGGAGTTGGTGGAAGTGCGATTCAGGTCATGCCGCCTGCAGTTCTTGCGAACAGAGCCCAATGAGGGGGCAAAGCAACATGCAGATCCTTTCCTTCTGCTAGAAACAGGAGATGTTGAACTCCTTCTTGCGGCAAGTGAGCAGGGAAGTAGTGTTTTTGAGGTGATTCAGTGTGGAGGCAGCGCGGACACAATTTCAATTGAAAAGTGTATGTCAAGTCAATAGGGCCGCAATCTATTCCACTTGCCCCTTACCCTTCAATCTGCAGATTTCGTGGATTCCGCCAGAGGAATTGTTTGGATTCGCGTCTTTGCGAATCCAGGAAGGAGCAGCAAGGGTTTTGATTCACCTGCTATTGAATGTCACTTGGTCACTTGGTCCTTTTACACATGACATGTAGTTCTTGATGGGTTGCAAGGTGAGACTTGGGCCCTGCAGTCAGCATGCTGCTTCTTATTGTTTATTGTACAACCTGTAAATGTCCAATGTTTGTCTGCATGTTGGCAATTCTTGCTGTGAAGCAACATGTGCCTCAAGACTGCGACGATTCGAATAAACGTTGGGTGACATGGACAGAGTAGTCTACATGTGATGCGGGAACGAGTGCTTGTTTCGCAGCCTGGCACAGGCAAACTCGAGGACCAACCCACCCGTGCACACCAGATGACCGTGCAGGGTCTGGCAAGGCACGGTGCAGCACCAGTCTCGCCATAATATGATGCTCCACTGCATGCTCGCCTGAGATACACCGAGCATTTGGTCCCTGCGATCGCCTTCTTCCGACCTGCCCCATTAGGCACAACCGGCGGTGGTTTGCTTGCCGCGCAGCTGAATGCCCTGTGTCAGTGCGGGCTTCTGTTTCCTGACCACCTCATTGCCCAACATCGGCCGCTGCAATAGCCATAACGAGTGCAGCCGCTGATCCACTCAGAGCCCCAGCATGCAGGTGTCGCATTTGCCCGCGCTATGCAGGGCTATTATGCCAACCCGACATGTTTGAAGTTCGAAGCCGGGCGCATTCCATGTAAATTGGTTGGACCATCAGAATCAGCTCGCATGCGAGGTATGATTGGACTCTGCACCGCACGGCACCTGGAGCTTGCCGCAGAGAGCCTTCCAACGCAGTCCCTGTCGACAGGTTTTCGGCGAAGGATTGCCTTGTCGTGGGGCAGGTTAGGGACTCCAGCTTGCCTGTCATGGTGAACCCTGAGCTTCAAGAAAATCTTTCATCCGTGTTGCCCGAAACGAGTAAACGCTAGTCACGGTAGTGACACCAGCTCGTTTAGCCCTTGCCACTGCCGTAGAGTCGTCGTCCGTGATTCGGACAAAGCTAACCTTACAGAGGCTGCAAGCCGTGCACCAGAAACGGAGGGGAAACCCCCCAACTCTAAATCGGGGCTGCAGACTCTTGCGACACTCAAGGCATGTCCAAGAGACCTCGAAGTTGTTTCTTTCCGACTTCCTCGTGGTCAAGGAGGCCGGGGAGCGACAAGTTGCCATGCCCACTGCGTTTTGCCATCACTCCGCAGTGTCGGCATGTGCCGGATTGATGGTGCAATAAGATTGTGCAGCTGATAAGTTCTACAACGCAGGTGGGCATGGACTTCCAAGAGAGATGTGTTGCAGCTTCCGTGTGCAAGCGACGCGAACCTGTGTTGCTCAGTTCTTCGAACCGTAGATTCAGGCTCAGGAACAAAAGCTCTTTGTTGGTGTTTCTGCCCCGCAGCCCACCCCCCCAATCCAAGTATGGAGGAGTCGGACAATGCGGACAACATGACCAGGGGCAAATATGTGTACTGGATGGGCCAGGATGAAGAAATCCCCCGAGGTGAACTTGGCGAGATCCTTCGGTGGAGTGGTGATGGAAGGAAGGTGAAATTCGCCAATGGTGAGCGGGACATCCCTACCTCTGAATTGAACGTGTGCAACATCCAGAAAGGCACTTTCGTCCACTCAGTCGTCGGCGACTACGACTGGGATACCCTTGGCGAGGTGACAGGCCTGGAGGGGGGCAGCTTGATCATCGAAGTCAAGGAAAAGACCTTGACGCGGAAGCCGATGTGCGTCATGCGGAGCGATATTCAGGCGGGCATGTTTGTCCATTGGACCAAATCTAATGAGAAGATTCAGCGTGGGGTGATGGGACAAGTGTACAAGCAGTTGTACTACAAGGGGGGAGTGAGAGTCACTTTTCCCAACGGAACTGGTGTCTATGCGCCTTCAGAGCTCGTGCGCGCCCCGATCCAGCACGGTGATTACGTCCAGTGGAAAAAGGAAAATGAGGACATCCCGAAAGGTCAGATCGGGAGGGTCGAGTTTGAGTATCTCAAATCAACCCAGGTCAAGGTCCGGTTTGCGAAGGGCACCTGGATCTTTGAGGTTGACGATCTGTTCCGACACGAGATGCAGATGGACTCTCTGGTCACATGGTCCAAGTATTGCGAGGAAGTTCCCAAGGGCGAGATTGGCCAGATCATAGGCATCAAGGTCGACGACGGTATCCTCAATGTCCGCTTCAACCAGGGTGAATGGGGTTTCAAGCCCAATGAGCTGAATTTGCACCGCATCCAGCCCGGAAACTTCGTGCTCTGGGAGAAAGCCGATGAAGACATCTTGGCAAACGAAATCGGTGAAGTGGTTCGTGCAGTTGGGGGCAGCAACCAACTTGCTGTCCAGTGGCCGAATGGCTTCTGGCCCATCCGAACAAAGGAGTTGAAACGTCTACCGTTCCAGAGAGGTGACCGGGTACAGTGGACCAAATCGGCTGATCATATCCCAGAAGGGGATTGGGGCATCGTCCTTAGCGTCAGGACGCTCAAGGACGAGAGCTGCGACAACAACGCAACGCTCTGGTGCAAGTGGACCAAAGGCACTTTCAACATCTCCCCACAGGAGATGAAACGGACCCACCTGAGCGTTGAGAGCATCTTGTTACGCATGATCCGTTGTCAGTCATTGTTCGCCATTCGTTGTTTTTCGTGAAACCTGGAATTCGGAACCATACCGCATTGCTGTTGGCTCCAGGGTTCTTTCGTTTTGGGTTTTGCTAGAACCAGAGAGGGATCAATGCCGTTGGACTCCCCGTCCTGTTAGGCATCAACCACCTCAAGAAGTCCTTTCAACGCTTCGACGCCAACGGAGATGGCAAGCTGACTAGTGAAGAGCTCACTGGTGTGCTGTGCAAGCTTGGAGGCATCAGTGAGGAAGATTGCCAAGCTCTCTTTGCGAACCTTGACAAGGACTCGGACGGGAAGTTAACCACAAACGAGTTCATCGACTACGTCTTCGGAGGCGGCCAGGCGACGGCCGCCCAGCGGAAGCTGCTCGCAGAAGGCTTTGGTCTGGAGGACGCGGTGGGCATCGAGGAGGACCAGATTGAAGAGGAAGACGATGATGATGATGACAACCCCAGCGACAACAACAACATAATAGTCGAGCCAGCGCCCATGGTGGTCACCCTCGATCCAGATGCCGGTAAAGATATTGGGCCCGAGACGCAAGTCTCGCGAGCTGAGTGGGCCTCTGCGATGCTGGTTCTGGGGGTCTGCCGCCAGGCGGCGCTGGACAGCTTTGAGAGCTGTGCTGCGGCCCTGGGGAAGGACGGAGACACCTTGGCTCTTGAGGACTTGGCTGGTGAGCTACACGGGGTCGGGGGCGCTCCAGGTGTGGAGGAACTCCGAGATGCAGTTGGCACGGTGAAACAGGGTGGAGCGATTGCTGTGGACCTCGACTCGCCTGCAGAGGAGAGTGATGCCGAGCGTGCGCTGGCCTTGAAGACGGGGATTGATGGACTACTGTACCACCTCCATGTGCAGAATCAGCCTTACGAGTCAGCTGCTGATGAGCTCCAGAAGGCCAAGTTGTCGTCTTTGGAGGCTCTGGTGCTTGGCAGCCTAGACGGAGACGCCCTCGTGGAGGCAGTGAAAGCCCAAGCAGCAGATCCTCCGGTGCTTTCCGCTCTATCCTCCTGGCAGCGTGCGCGGGAGAATTGCAAGAAGGAGGTAGAGGCCATTATCGAGGCTTGCAAAAGCAGCGGCGAGAAGTACACGGATGAGTCCTGGAACGCACTGGAAGACCCAAACGCAGTGATGTACGTGGACAAGGAGAAGCCGGGTTGGGACTGCACCGTTGGAAAACCCTTTGGGTGGAAGCGGGCTAAGGAGATGCGGGACTATTACGAGCTCTTCCATGAGGGGGGCAGCTTCCAGGATATCAGGCAAGGCCAAACAGGCGACTGCTACCTGCTCGGGGCGTTAGCCTCCGTGGCGGCGAACCGAAAAGGTTTTCTTCGCCAGGTCTTCGTAGCCTATGACATGGATGTCGGCGTCTACGGCTTGTTGTTCTGCCAAGATTCGCATTACAAATACGTCATTGTGGACGACGTTTTGGGCCATGATCGGGGTGGACGAACTCCTCTGTATGGTAGTAGTACGGATTGGACCGAGATCTGGGTCAGTATCCTGGAGAAGGCCTTCTTCAAGCACTACACATGCATCGAGATGCTGGGCTTTTGTTAAAGGAGATTGAATTTTTGAGCTACCACAAATAGGGAAGCCGTATTATTATTGACTATAGATCTCTAAGAAGAACCCAGGATGTGTGATGGCGGGCGAGGAGCTGAGGCCATCGTCAGCTTCCTTGGCGGTGTCACAGGTCAATACAGCATAAACTACTCGGAGTACAACCATCCCGAAGACTACTTCAAGCGTTTAGAAAGTGCACAGAAGGCGTGTGAGCTGATGACAAGTGCCTTTACCAAACCGAGTAAAGGCAAGTATGCAAACATGGGTGGCGGCTCATCTGGACAATGCGGCGAGAGGGGTCTTCCATTCGGACTGCATGCGGGTCACTGCTACTCCCTGCTTCGCAGTGTGGAGACGGGTGGCCATCAACTTCTTTGTTTTCGGAACCCTTGGGCCACTGGCGAGTGGACTGGTCCCTGGGGTGATCGGTCCGAGGAGTGGACCGATGAAGCACGCGAGGCCTGTGATTACACGAAGAAAAACGATGGCTTGTTCTGGATGGCGGTCCAAGACTACGTCCAGCTCTCTCGCTATGCGACCTTCAACCGCACTTTTGGCCCAGCGTGGCAGACGGTGAAATCCTATCACCGCTTTGGGAATGGGGGAATGCGGGCTCGCGCCAAGAAAGACTACCAAGCCCAGGATAACAGTGAGATCAGCTTCAAGAGGGGCGATATGCTGAAGGATCTAGAACCCCACAGCCAGGGGACTTGGTGCAAGGGAACGCTCGAGAAGAACGGGGACAGGGGATACTTCAAATACAGGGACGTCCAGCAGCAATCCACCGACATCTTCAGGTTTGAGTTCTCCGTGGAAGGTATGGCCGACAATGCGCCCGTGATTCTGTCTTTGATGAGGGAGAACCAGAAGCTTTGTCGCGAGTGGAGCAAGCGCAAAGTGGACGGCCTGAACTATAAGGACACCAGGTACAGCAATGGCTACTGGTGGATCTTCCATCCAGACGGGAAGTTGTTACTTGACAAGAAGGACATCTGCATTGTTGTTCTTGGTAGTTAGGTGTTTTCTCTCTGGGGATCCACGTCTTCGATGTAAGAGCAGCCCAGGTTTTGAAAGGATCGCATCAGCTACCGCCACATTTGGAAGTTCTTGCCGAGCCACGGGGGTCCCTGGACGATCTTCATCAACTGCTCCTCCGGTGCAGGCAAGCGCTTCAGCTTGCAGGGCTTCGTGCCGCACGGAACGATGAAGCCCGGCGCGCGAAAAAAAACACACGCATTCTTTCGTTCTTTTTTGAGGGTTATATGTTATATGCCATGTACCAGAAAAAGATGCCATCAACGACCCCCCAAGGCGGAGCGCTCCTGCGTCCCTCTAATTAACTTGACAGTCCTAACGTAGAAAGGGGTTCCATGTCTTTTCAAGGAAGATCAAGAAGATCGACTGCTCCATGGAGGAGTTCCTGAACAAGTGCGTGTAGCTGCCGTGTAGCGGTGGGCCGATCCGCCTATCGGCGGAAAGCAGCCAAGTGCAGCCAATTGGGCAGTTTTCACCTTCACTTGATATGATTTCGTTGAGTTCTAGGGTTAGGGGTTGGGCTGTCGGGGTTAATTGCAATGCAAACATCTCTGGTGAGCTTGGTTGCTCTAGTTTGGAAGAAAAAATCGATAAGCATCAATATCTTGTGAAGTACGGTTCTAATATATATATATATGTATGTATGTATGTATGTATGTATGTATGTATGTATGTTTGTATGTATGTCTGTCTGTCTGTCTGTCTGTATGTCTGTGTGTATGTATGTATATGGTAGAGAAATTAGACTCAAGAATTCCAGATTATGAATTCTACTCATTTTGTAAATGCCACGAATTATGAGAATACTGAGTGTTACCAATATACACACGAACTTATTTAGAACTCTTGACATGGGTTACCTACTTCAGATGATGCTTCCTGCTTATCTTTCTGTCACTCCTCCGATTGCATCCCTCGCTAAAGCGAGAAGGCCCTGCTGTTGAGGTGTGTCCGCTGGCGGGCAATGCGAGGCCATGCTGAAAAAGTGACTCCTAGCATATTCGCATCTATATCTATATATATATATATATATATATTTATTTATGATAGCCAGCAAGTATATGTATGAATTAAAGATATCAAGTGCGCTTGGTGCCTTGATACTTCACCACTTCACAGCGTTAGCCACTCCACTTAGGTATTCTGCCGCACAACATAGGAAAATCGTATCATTAGCGTGCTCAAGTAACTTGACGGTTTTGGTGCGCAGGTGAGACCAGGAATTGATAGACACATTGAGCGTCTGGGGGGCTCCAGGACCCTAAGACGTGATTCAGGCTGGCTCGCAATGGAGAGTAGGTTGAAGAATCTGTGCACGAAGCAAAGCGTAGCAAAGCACCTCGGAGAGCAGACGACAGGCAGCCTTCAAGACGAAGGCCGTGTGCGTAGATGGACTGCGGCTGAATGGTTTCAGAGCGCATGCATCCCAAGTCCTCCTGTGCAGGCTGGAATCTTGTTGGCGAAGCACAAAAGGCCCAGCATGTCCTCGAAAAGCCGAGTCGCCCAGTCAAGTGAGCCGTGTTACACGAGGCATGGTACCATCACACAGCTCCATGACTCGGGCGATGAAGGCTAGACGCTCATCGGAAAAATTCGCGGCAGGCAGTCCAGGTAGTTGGGTCGCGTCTGCCACTGATGATTCGCAGTGGCATTGCCCTGAGCAGGTTGGAGATGGTGGAGCAGGAACTCATGGACGATAGGCATGACTCAGGCTGGCTCCGCTGAGGGCATATCGAAGGAGCAACATCTTCTCAACAACATCTTCTAATCCACATGTACAGCATAATATAGACATACTGTAAGGTCGTGTTTCATATCAGAATAAAAAAGCAGACTAGATGCAGTATAACATGACTGGTAGGAGGTCTTTTGGTTGTGCCTTGGGGGTTCCACGTGTGTTGCTTGTCGGTCCATTTGTGTGTGTTCACTCTTTGTTTTTGTGTTTTTTGCTTCTTGTCCTTCGGCTCTTTGGCTTACTGAGAGGCCGCAGACGCTGCGTCGTGCGTCCGTGTAGGCTTGTGCACCGTGTGGAAGGTTTCGAAAAGAGACATGAGGCCGATGACTTCGACCTGAGAAGTTACAAGAACTTCTGCTGGTGAAGGTGACCGCAACTAAGTTGTCAAGCCCAAAGCAAAGCATTAGGGTGAATGATCTTTGACAACAGGCAGCACTCAAGAAGAAGGCCGCTAAGTGATTTCAGGGTGCATCCCGCTTTATTTTGCCCAGGCTGGAATCAAACTTGGCGCCATTGGTCTCGGGACGAAGGCATGGCCTCATATCTGCCAGGCTTGCTCAGTAATGTGAGTCGTGTGACGCGAGGCTTCAACACGAAGCCGTCGCACAAGGATGATGAATGCCAGCTGCCCCAGGAAAATCTACGGCATGTAGTTGGTGTGGAGGCTGTGTCGCCTTTCGTGATTCGCCGTGTCGTAGGTGTCGTAGCCGCGTGGCTGTGGGGGGTTTCAGGCTTGGGTCAGGTTCCCTCGTTGTTCGGGGCTTTGGTGTGCTGTAACTCATGTGATGGCTCTTGCACTGATGCGAATGCTGCTTTGTTTTTACCGGCAGGTGGATTTCCGGCAAGTGGGCGGCTCAGGCACTTGCGATTCTTCGAGCCGGCTGTGCAAGTGGTGGTGCCTGCGAGCTGTGCAGACTCAAGTTGGTTCTGGCCCTCACTGTGCCCGGTGGCCAGGTGCAGTACCACTTGCGACTGCATGAGACTGCATGAGATCCTGGTCGCGGAGGTGCCTGGAAGGTCAGCCGCGCGAGTGATTGTTGCCGTGGGTCTTATCGAATCGTGCCCGGCAAGACTGGAAAGAGGAGACCGGCCCAGCCGGTGGGGAAGTGTGGCGAGCATGGGAGTGAAAGTTGCGGGGAAGTGATGTGCCGAGGCATCGCAAACTTGGAATCCTTCGCTCGAGGCCTGCCTCGCACACACATTTAGACAGCACGAGCGTCTTCTTGGCCTCCAGGCTCAGAGGGGGCAAAGGCTTGGTCTCCTCCCGTCACGGACTTGG